CGCCAGGAAGACGACCTTGCATTAACGCTAAGTCACCCGGCTTTTTCTTTCGCTTGATTTGTCTCTCCAACAAATCTTCCCCGCGGTAAACAAAAGTGAGCCGGGTGCCACTCATGTTTGACATTTCCATGCGTGAAATATCTCCCGGAGACAAAGAGGCTTCTCTCCTTATTGCCTGGATGTGTGCTTGTGGGTGGAAGCCCTATTGTATGTCCTTGCACAATCGCTCGTGTAGGCTCTGCACTCGGTGACATTATCCGCTTTGGCGAACTCCGAGCTGCGACTTAGTCAGAAGATTGATTTCTCTGCTTTATATCCGTCACATCCAGCACACTGCCCACCTTTGGCACACGGCGCTATAGGCAGCCGGCCTCCACTGTCACCTCATTTCAGAGAAGTGATTGATTCGAGCTCGGCCGTGTTTACAATGGAGTGCTGTATTTGCAGTTCACATGGCTCGCGGCTCTTTCAGACACAGTGTAATACCTGAATGGAGGCGTTCTCAATGGAGCTGTTGAGGTGTTGCGGCTTGCCTTGGCCGGAGAACAAAGACGACGGGGCCCTTTTGTCTCGCTTTATGAGTTTGAAGACCGTCGTATTTAGAAACACATCAACTACCGTCGATTAACGTAGGGCTGAGCGTGTCTCGGTGCGAACACTTCCTGGGTTTACGCTGTGAGCCGAGAGGGCTTGAAACGGTGGCCGGGTCCAGGCTCGGCGATGGAGGCACACCGAGATCAAGAAGCAATCAAATCAACTTCGTCAAAGAACTGATTGCACGAAGGAACAATCAAGAGTTGCACAATTACTAAATGAGGCACCAATTATTGTCCTGCCTGATTATTGGATCAGCGTTTTCCCTGATTCTTAGTTTTTTTTCTAACCAAATCCTGTATTCATTTTAAAATGTGGTAAATTCTATTTTAATTAAACACACATTAAACACATTAGCGGGGGCATTTCAATTATTTTTGGCATCTAAATGTTAGTACCAAGCTACAAATGTAAAATGGTCCAAATATTGTTCTGTTTGATTATAAATTATCTGTATTATTATTGGCGCTGAAGAAAAAAAACTAGTCGACCCCAGTACTAAATGGCTCTTATTTAGTCACATCAAGTGGAGACATGGTCATTAACTAATCAACAATTAACCCTCTGAACCCCAAAAGTGTGAACCGCATGTGATCTTTAAAACCAAATCTGCAAATTATACATGATTTATCAGAGCCAGAAGCTATAACAACACAAAAAACACTGGATTTGTCACTTTCCGGTGCAGTTTCATCAGGAAAACTAACCAAATATAGGCTTAATAAAGATGTGATGGGAGCAAAACATACCCAGAAACTACAGATTAAATTCACTGGCAACCATTTTTTAGTTGAGTCCTAAATGATCAACAACTATTTTCGTCATAAATTCATAATTTTGATTAATATTTGAAGCAAAAATGCCAAATATTTACTTTCCCAGCCCCTGAAACTAAACTATAATCTAAAAAAACCACATTATCTCAGACTTCTTTGTCATTACTATCTTTGGGGAGTGACCGATCATCCAGTAAAACCAGTGAGTCTGTGTTTGCATTTACCAGCTATTTCCAACCAAAGTAACTGGTCGGGAGTTTATTTTATCCTCATTTCGGCGCCAGCTAAAACCTACCAGCCATAAATCCATCGATGCAGCAAACATACTCGCTCCATCTTGCTTTTAATTATCCTACAGTCTTTGTTTCGGCTGTTTTCTGCACACTCATTACGAGCTAATGAAGTCGACGGAGGAACTCCTGCTTTCACCGTGCGAGATGGAAATGCGTATTCCGAGCAGCGCGGCAGAACGTCCGCGGGGATCGGCGCTAGCATGGCTAATGCTGTTACACCAGAAGTGGCTAATGAGCTAACCTTCCGCTTTACCTCCGCGTAGCTCTCCATCATTAGCACCTCCGGCTCCCGCGAGGGCCGGCGAGGGGAGCGACGCGCTCATCCCCAACCGGGAAGTGTGGAAATAATAGAAGCCGGGCACTGCAATGCTTAGAGCGCTACAGGACTTGATTGGAGTGGATAAAGCCAACAAACACAACCGGGGGATTTTTTATTTTTTTTTTAAGCTTCAAAATTCATTCCAGGAGGAGGTTATTTCAGGACAGCAACTTTCAAGGAAGATGTCAAATCTGTTTCCTTGTCTTTCGTTGCCTTGAGGTGATCCGTGCTCGGAAAATATAAGTTCACCCACCTTTTTTTTTTTCAATTCAATCATTCATCACCGGTCACAGCAAAACATCTTTATTTTCTCAGCCTCCAGATGTGGTTGGACTGGAGGCAAGCGGCGACCTCAAGGCATGATGGGATATCTAAAGGCTCAAGCCCAGCACTCGGGCTCAGCGCAGGATAAATTGTTAGTCTGAAGGGAGTTTTCTCTCTCTTCGTGCAGCTGCGTAACGGTTTGGATAGGAAGACTTTCCTTTTCAACAACTTTTCTTCACATGTAATCCTCTCTGCAGATGTCAGTGTCTTGCTCAAGGGCTTCTTGGCAGTAGTTTGAAAAGCTCTGTCAGAGAGTTAATTTCGCTCAGCTCCAGAAGCTAATTCACAATTTACAACCCCTTAATTTAATGCAGATGTTGCACTTCTGTGTCTTTTTTTGTTTGTTTGTTTGACTAAAAATTCATCTATAATCTGATAATTACTTGTTTGGGCAAAGTGGTGAAAAAATTAATGTTTTCCAAGATGACAAATGTCTTGTTTGGTTTAATTTAACCGTCATCATAATAATAATTTGAATATATTCAAATTTTAAACTTTTTTTAATTAGAAAAATTACCCAAAGCACTCATTATCAGAGTCGCTGGCGATTGTCTTCATTGAAATAAACGAGGCGACTGTGGTTTTAGATGCTGTCCTACCATCGGTCCAGTAGTGTCAGTGATTATTATTCAATTAATCCAGTTTGAAAACACGTCAGAGCACATTTTAACCAAATCGGCTAAATCAAAATAAGTGAAAATGCATTCATAATTTTACTTTCAACGACCTCTAAGCTGCCTTTTAATGTGATAACTCCTCAAGATGGAGGCGATGTTAACGTTCTGTGATTTGTTTTCTGCTTATATGCACATTCGGGCAGCTCCTTTTCCTTTTTTTCCTGAAGCAGACGTATATTTTTGTGACTATTCCATCCGTTGCGGTTTTCCACATCTGTCGCTAGTTTTCTTGTAAACTTGTGGGTTATTTTTTTTTAAACCAATTATTTCTGCATTCTCAGCATCCGTCATTCACCAACCACAGGCTATTCTTCTCTCCTCTCTCTCTCTTCGCTTCGGCCATTTGCTCTCTCACGGTTGCACCTGTTGCCGTGAAATATTTTCGGGGGGCTTCGTGGGAAATGGATTTGACGAGAGAAAAATGCCGCCAGTGCTGCTGAGAGGCGCGGTGACCTCGGCTGCCGGCGAAGTAGCCACTCTGCTCTCGCTTCCATCTGCAGCTGTTAGTGTCGCTGAAAAGAGGCCCGCGGCGCTTCCGGGCCTCGGGTTTGGCATTAACTGGCTTTACTTAAGCAGCCATTTTTTTTTTATTGAAAAATACATGATATTTCTAAAGTTAACCTCCATTACGCAAGCTAAGCCCTAATTTGTGGAAGCCGCTGTGACGGGTCGGGACGGTGATTTCAGAGAGGAGGAGGAGGAGAGTGGATAATGATCGCACAAATTGGAGCGTTATTCTCTATTTGTCCTGCACTTTTCTGTTGAATTACGGAGCGCTTTTGAGACATTAAAAGCAGCAATAAATAAAAGGCAATAAGGTCAAGAGTGCAAATCCGAGAAGGGAGGAATGATGTAAAAAAAAACACTAAAGCAGGGGATTTACAGAGAATTAAAGGGCTAAATAACAATGCCTGTTCTGCTAACAGCTCTGCTCAGGAGGGCTTTCACTTCCGTTTCATGTGGCTAACCACAAACTGCATTCATCACAGATAAGGACACCAAAGTACAGCTTCAACACGACGGTTTTAACACCAAACATGTTGGGAGATTACCAGATAGCGTGTTTGACATGTCGTGTGTCTTTGGACAAATATTTTACTCATTCGAGCTGCCGTCTCTTTCTGGGGCACACTGACCTGTTTTCCACACAAACAAGCTGCACACATCTTCACAACAGAGCGCAACAAGCTCGGCTGAATAGGAACAAAAAAATGTGACCTTAATAAATAGTGGAGTCAAACAGCTTTGAGATTCTTTTCTATTTATTTTCTGGGTCAAGAACTGCAATTTCTCAAAGCATTGAGAAGCACAAAATGCGCCCAGACGACGGAGGGTCAGGGGGCGCAAACGGAGCGCTACGTGGGATGCAGTCCTGTTTGGTTTGCAGCGAGCGCCGGCCGACTCTCCTCAGCCTTGTCAGCAGTCGGAGCTGGACTAACTCTCTGACAGGTGATGAGAGACGGCAGCAGCGGCGACGCTAAACTGACAAGCTGTCACGCAGTCGTTTCCCCGGATATCGGTTTGCACAAACCTGCTGCCTGCGTTCATCCGCGGGAAATCAGAGTCTCTTTTATTTTGGCGGGGCGGCGAGTCGATCGGCTGGGCTGCTTTGTGTTTGGGAACAGACCGGACTTCTCAACTTTGCCCACGTGCTCCTCTATCAGCTCATGTTTTTAGTCGACCCTGCCTGGTTTTTATTGTTCGTCCTAAAGAAACTTTCATTGGTGTATTGACTCTGAAGCACTCTGGAGTCCACATACTGAAGGTTTTACTGCGTCTTATACTTTGAGGCTGTAAAGAAACGTCCTTCCACCGGTTATTGATACGAACCTAAATTATCTTCTTTGTCAACGACAGGGTAGGAAAACAACTTTTAAACCTCCCAGCCTGTAAATCCAGAAGCTTTTTTTTGAGAGCAATTTATCATCTCCGGGAACAGTCAACAATTCAGAGGTGCTTCCTTCACAGCGAAAATTAAAAACACCTAATTAACCGACGCCCTGTTCGTCCTCTGCAGGTGCCATCCTGGGACGCTCCGAGACGCAGGAGTGCGTTTATTACAACTCCAGCTGGGAGAAGGAGCGGACGAACCGCAGCGGCATCGAGCCGTGCTACGGCGAGAAAGACAAGCGGCGGCACTGCTTCGCCACGTGGAAGAACGTCTCCGGCACCGTGGAGATCGTGAAGCAGGGCTGCTGGCTGGACGACGTCAACTGCTACGACAGGTGAGCAGAGTCTTGGATGTTGGGTTTTGGATTGCAGAGAGCGTCACGTGTGTCTTGTAGTGGATTTAAAATATCACAAGATGCTTTTTAAATGTGGGAAAAGTAGGTACACAACATAAACTAACACATAAAGCATGCAATGTTTAGTTTTATTTAACATTTTCAAACATATCTGCCTCCCTCGTCTCAACTCCAGGCAGTTTCCAGACATTTTTTGCATCATTTTTCCTCACTGTGGCCTCTTTTATTTATTGACGCGAGGCAGCAGCTAATATTCGGAAGAAAGCTGCTAAAAGCTTTTCTCACATTGAGGTTTTTTGCTGCTCACATGTTGAATCTGCACCTGCAACAAGATTGATTTTAAACCTGACAAGCTAAGCTAAGCTCGCTTTAACGCAACACCTCTGACAGATTACAGCTGGATCAACAGCGCAGAGGCATCAGTAATAAGCTTTTGTTGCTCCTGTCACATTTTTCCTCACTGTGGGCTCATTTTTCACCGCGATATGAAGTCCTGCAGCTCTATGAAAACAGAACAACCACGAAGGAGGAGACGGAACTCAAACGTTTGTACAGGAGTTAGGAAGCCATAAATCGTAAAACAAAAGAGGACGGAAGTTGAATTTCCTGATTATCCATCCGTCCATCCATCCAACCATCCATCCATTATCTATACACCGCCTATCCCAGCTGATCCAGGGCAAAGGTAGTGGACACCTGGACAGGTAACCAGTCTATCACAGGGCCACACTTAGAGACAGACAACCAAGCACACTCACATTCACACCTACGGACAATTTAGAATCACCAATTAACCTCAACATGTTTCTGGACTGTGTGGGAGGAAGCTGGAGAACCCGGAGAGAACCCACACTGCACAGGGAGAACATGGAGACTCCACACAGAAAGATCCCAGATGTCCTCACCGGGACACGAACCAGCGACCTTCTAGCTACGAGGCAACGGTGCTAACCACCGAGCCGCCTTGCAGCCCTCGACATACGATAAATATTTTTACTTCAAATTTCCAAAAACACATCCTGCAGTTCAGCCAAAATTGCAAGAATCTTTGTTACGTGCAGCTCAGCCGAATCTGGCTTCTCTGAATTTTTCCTTTCTTACAGAATCTGTTTAAAACAAAACTTTATTTTCAGCAGATTTCTAAATTAAAGGTGTTGAATAAAGTAATTTTGGTTAAATATCAAATTTTTTTGCTGAGATTTTGCTTCGTTTTCCGACAGAATGACCGAGCCACGGATGAATAATTCAAGGACCGAAAAAAAAAAAACACAAGTTGGAAACCTCACGACTGTCTTTGTTTTCAGAGTATCTGACAGCGTGGAGGTTAAAGTCCTCGCCAGCGGAACAACCAAAAATCCAGCAAAGAACATCTGAAAGAGAACATTTTGAATGCAAAATAAAAGTTCTAAACTCGTCTTTGTGAAAAATGTCAAGTAGAGTGTAGCTTTCAGGCTTTAGAAATCTTTGCAAACAATTTCCCAAATTAATTTTACATTTTTTCGCACTGCAGTGTTGCAGTAATTGCTTTCCTTGCCTTTTGTTCAATCATTCATCATTTTTATGTCCTTTTTCTTTTTTTTTTTTCCCTGGCCTTAGATTCATCTCCAGACAGCATTTACATTTAGCTCTCAGCAGCCAGCAGATCCTCTTTTATAATATGAAGCATGCAGGTTATTCCTGGCTCATAATGGGCCTTTGGGGGGCGACTGCACGACAGCAAGATCAGTTAATGTACAGTAAAGGGAAAAAAGTCTGTGTTACCCTATTTAACTGAAGCCTGGGCCTTTTTCTAACCGCTATGCTTTAAATATATGAAACCTCCATTAACAAAACTGGCTAAATAATTGAGCTGCTCTTTTGATTTTTTAGATCATTTCGTTGCTGCCTAAAACCAACAAAAATCCCCTTTTTTGTGCAGCAAAAACAGATGATTTTATGGGAAGTCCTCAGCTTAAATAAATGAATTCTGGTTTCTGGAGCCTCTCATTAGGTAACACAGATATTAAATAGAGCATATCAGAGACGATGTTTTGGTTTTTAATCAAAGCAGAGATCCTCGCTGTAACGCTGTACATTCGTTCCTGACAGAAAAGCAGCAGCAGCACAAGTCTCTCAATTAGGACAAAGCCGGCACATCATCACGATGGCGTCTCAACTCTAAATACATTTAAAATCACCTTGAGCACAGTTTTTGTCCCTTTGTGCGCTCCTCCGTCTGAATGACTGGCACAAGGCTAAACTTTAATTACCGAGGAAGTCTGAATTGCTGCAAATGGCTCTGGATGTATGCGTCTGAACCCAGGACAGTAAACAGATATTAATAGAGGGTATTATTATAGTTCCTGCCTTTTTGCTGGAACATCAACCTGGCATCCGATGCTGGTTTGAACCAGTTCTGTTTTCCCTTTTGATTCCTGAGCGATAAAGTTGCTGTAGAATCTGCAGCCCGCACAGTTCGGGTACCTCAGCTCAGACGGCGCCGCCTCGCCTCCCTGGAGAGTCCAGAGCAAGTCGAGGGCGGCTGCCACTTCCTTTGGCTTTTATCTGATGACTGTGTGAGTGTGAAAGTTGGAGTGTGCGATCGTTAGTGTGTGTGTGTGTCGGCTTGTGTGGGAGTTATTTTATAAATGTTTTTGTTTCATGTCGCGGCGAGAGGAAGGAGCTCGCGTGTAGGTGCGCGAGTGCTTTCTGCTGCATCACGTCACATCTTCGGTGCCACTTCGTTTGCGCAGGTGACGCGACGTGTCACTCGCTCGCGCTTTCAAGAACAAATTGCTTCCGCGTCCTCTGCAGGGAAAGGGGGGAAGAGAGAGAGGAGATGGTTGTGTGAGGAGTGTTTTCTAATTTCCACCTCCGTGTCCTCCGCAGTAACGAGTGCGTGGAGAGGAAGGAGAGTCCCGATGTGTTCTTCTGCTGCTGCGAAGGCAACATGTGCAACGAGAGGTTCCTGTACGCCCCTGAAGCGCCCCCGCAGAGCGACCCGCACCATTCAACCGCCTACAGTATGTACAGTCCAACATGCACACATACAGCAGGATCCCACATCCTACATTCTGTGGCTGCAAACGCTTTGCATTGCAGTCACATCGAGTTCTTTTCTATATTTGTGTCCGTAGGTTCACATTGGAGGTCAATCGAGGCCGATTGTGACGCCGAAAAGAATCCAAACAATTGATTCAGTAAAATTTGAGTAAAACTTAGAATAACTCAATCTTCATTTCTAAACCTCGTTGAAATTAACATTTTTTAAAATTATTTGTGACACAAAAATGGACAAAAACTTAAATCAACAACTGCAACCTTCTCCCAAGTGTCCACAGGTGCTACCAGTACTGGAAACAAATATGGCCTCTACCTGCTATACATATTTTAATACCTACATTTTCAGTTTGTTTCACCTCCTCTCTTCTCAGCGTAAACACAGCCTGCCGTTCAGCCGGAAAGACCTTGACTTTCCATTACATGACTGTTGGTTACAGCTGAGTTCCTAAAAGCTTTCCGGTTGCGGCAAAGAATACAGAATTTCTTATTTTTTTACAGAATCTGGTTCAAGCAAATGGTTTATTTTTGAAGAATTTCTACACAAGGCATGTAAAATGTAGTGATTTCGATTAAATATAACGATTTCAAAGCTCGTCACAGATGTTTAGTTCAAGGACGAGTAGAAAATCTGCTTTTACAGTCTTTTGTCTGTGAGTAATGCTGTAATTTTAGCAGTTTTGGTAGGTTTTTGGGGGTTCAGAGGGTTAATTAAGAAAAGCTTTTCAGCGCTTTTGTTCACGGTTAATTGTTATTATGAAGTTATTCATGCATAACATTAATAAAGCGCACAAGATGCAACTCAGATAAAGTAAAGAATCATCAGCATATACAGTAACATAGGACAAAATGCAATAAAATAGGATCAAATTCCATGAAGAGGACTGTTTCAGAAGCAGAACCTCCAGCCGTCTGCCGGTAAGGCCCGGTCTTGTGCAGAGTGCGTGTTGTGAGATAGTTGTGCTCTGGACAGCTGCCATCTCCTGAGCTTCCAGGTGTTCAGCTCTTAAAAAATATTTAAGGATCCGAGGAACGATAATAAAAGTCACAAATCCTGGTTTGACACGGACATGTCTGGGCCTCATTCGATGTTCTCATCCGGACAAAGTGAGGCAATAGTTGGAACTGCGCGGAGCATCTCTGCCCGTTTGCGTGTAAACCAGTAAATCTGAGTTGCTCATCACCGACCGCAAGTGTGAGCAAGAAGATGCCTCGGTGTGTTTATGGTTGCTAATGTGTTAGCATGCTGTTGACGTTCACTTAATGTGGTGTAACGGAGAGCAGCCCCACGGCGCCGAAGTCAGATTAGTCCAAAATCAAGCAGCGGATAAAAGACAGACACTGATGAAACTAAAAGAAGCTGAGAAAAGAGAAGATAAAGCTTTATTTATCCCAAATGAAGTTACAAGTCAAGTACGATTATATTACTGAACTAAAATAAGACTGGAGTAGAAAGTCAAAAAGTAATATCGCACATGATCATGAAATGAATATTGCACCTGAAAAATTAGATGAAAATTAAACATTATACAGAAGCCAATATTACACAAACCATTGAGGAGGAATATTGCAAGTGCTGTTGATATTATTGTTTAGATCTGAGTTTCTGATGCTTAAGGAGATATTTACCTCTGAGTTTACAATAATTGGACCCTCAGGGTGTTTCTCAGTGTCAGAGGATGCAGGTGTGATTATTTCAAGTGCAGAAATACGTCACTGCTTTGACCAGCGCGTATTATTTCGTGTGTTTTGACCAACCGGTGGCAGTTTTGGTGTCCAGACACTTCACACTAGAGACCGATCATGGGCCTGGCTGATTATCGGGGCTGACATTTGGCATATTGATAAATTAAATGCTCTGTTTGTCTGTCGTCACTCTGCAGTTTCAGAAATGTCTCTCAATCAGAAAACGGAACAAGAAGCACAAGCAGCTACGCTAATGGCTAGCGGCTAACGGCTAGCAGCAACAGATTAACCTGAAACTGAGTCTGGAAAACAATCATTAATGATGGTTTAAGGTGTGGACCTTAGTGGACAATAAAAGAAGGAGACAAGCTGATCAATATCAGTCAATCTCCACATTAACATTACCTCTTTTTTCTATTGTTTGTTTTCAGTTATAGTCACTGTTATTAATGAAGAGGTTATGATTGACAGGTTCTCTGCTGTCACATGCTGCTAAAACATTACACTCGTGTATATCAGATCCAAACAACAACACATCAGTCGATCCCTGCTTCACAGCTCCACTGTCTCTTTCCATTCCTTTAAATTTGACTTTGCGAAACTTACCGAGTCCCCTCAGAGAATAACTCTTCGCACAAACACCCCCAGAGCCCCACCATGCAGCTGGTGCAGCCCCGCCGGCCCCTCGCTCTTCACCCCCGCCCCGAGGACGGCAGTCGCTCGGCGTCGCGGCGTCGGAGCTTCTGACAGCGCTGCCGAATCAGACTGTCGCACCTTGTGATGGGAGGACAGGCTGAGCCAGCAGGCGTCACCCGGCGACTCCTGCAGGGGTCGGACAGAGTTCAGGGCTCTGTTATTTTTGGCAGGCGGATTACGTTATGTCACGAGATGGATTTGCTAATCCTGCTGCCTGTGTGTGTGCGTGCATTGATACGATCTCTAAGCACAGTGGCAGTAAAGCTGTAAGCAGGGTTAGAGCTGCACTTAGAGATGATGTAGCACAATGTCAGGCCAATCAGACCTGCTCCAGTCTGCCCTTCTTGTCTTTCCTGCCTTTTCTCTGGAGGTGTCGCTCACATTTGATATTTCACTGCTATAGCTGTGTTTCTGTAAAGATTAAATGATAAGTTATTGCACTCAAATTATCTGCTTGGCCTTCTGTGATTTGCTTGAAACTTCTTTATCCTAAACTTAAATTTAATTTTAGTATATTGTGCTAATGTTGTCCTCATGCAGCCATAATTCCTCCAAAAAATGACATGACAAGTCTCCTCCAAACTAAGGTTTATGCCTACATATAAGAAAATGAAATGCTCATATTAAAAACAAACTGATTTTCTTAGTTATCTACCAATGTTTTTGTTGTAGTGATACAAAATTTTAGCTTAAAAATTAGTGTAAAACTTCACAAATATCTTTATAAACAACTTTTTTCATGGTATAGGACTTTCTGGTTAATCAGAGATGGTCAAACCAATTTTTTTCTGGAAAAACCTGATGATTCAATACAAAATACATGTTTCACCACCAGCCAAGTGACGTAGCCACGAGTATATAAACACCGAAAGTGACTGATAAATCTTTCTAATATAAATTTTGAGCATCAAACTCTCAATTTCATGAATTCTGATGCATTTTAATGCTCCAATTTGTGTCTTTTCTGAATTAATTATCAGTTAAAATGTCTGTCTTTACACAAAATGTTATAATGGGGATCATTTGTACAATAACTTACATATATTTACTGGAGCGGTGCAACATTTTACCTTCATACTAGGAATATTCCCCAAATTCTAATTACATTTTCCTGGAAAGTATTTGATATATCAATCTGAAATTTCATTAATTTTAAATCATTTTTATCATAAGTTGCAAGCAAATCAGATCCAGTTGAGCAGAAATTGTCAAACAATTTGATGGTTTGAGATGAAATACGTGTTTTAGCATCAACCAAGTGACGTAACTGATGCTAAAAACTTATATTAGGAAGATTTATCACCACTTCCTGTGTTTTTGTTTCCTCTCAAACACTGAATTTCATCAATTCTGGTGAATTTTAGGCACCAATTTGTACCTTTTCTGCATCCAATTAGGATAAAAGTGTCTATTTACAAACGGTGGGCTCATTCCAAGTCATTTTGCACAACTTTAGCATCATTTAGCAGCATTTTCATTGTGACAGTTTGATTATCCTGGAAATTACTTGATATATGAATCTACACTTTCACAGATACCATTTTGCATATGTTTACTTTATGATTAAAGGTTTCAGGTAAATCAGGAGAATCTTGAGCAGTTTGCTGATCTCAGATGGATTAATGTCGTTGTTTGTCGCCCCTCAGCCACCTCCAACCCGTTCTCCCAGAAGCCCCAGCTCTTCAGCACTCTGCTCTACTCGCTGGTTCCCATCATCGGCCTGGCCGCCGTCGTCCTCTTCTCCTTCTGGATGTGGAGGCACCACAAGCTGGCCTACCCGGCCGCCCTCGTCCCCACACATGTAAGTCCTAGCAGGGTGAAACCCAGACTCCAATCCATGACCGCCTTTTTTTTTGTTTTGTTTTTTGTCTCCTCGTCTTCATCTTCGCCTCATCGCTGTGTTCAGAGGTCACCTGTCAGTCAGATGAGCCTGTGGTGTCCTCTTTCGTCAAAGATGCTGCAGTTAGAGTTTCTCTTACTGTCTGCTCGAGAAAACGTACAGCTCGAATGATTTCCTTTCCTGTAAACGGCAAGAAAGTTATTTACCCCTCACCTCAGGAAACATCTCAGCTTGATTTTTTTGTTGATATTTACTTCCTACATGAGTCAGTGCTCATTAGCTGCTCCCAGAAAAAGCCCCTCGTGTTGTTTGAAGTTCACAGCGTGGCACACTGTGCACTTTCTCCTCCGTTCAACCGCGATCCAGTTTCGCGAGTCAAACCACCTTGGCCTCTGCCCCCCTGTGCAGCAGAGGAGCGAGGCTACGGTCAGCCGGGAGGGACAAACTGCACCGAGAGTTTTCAGTTTCACACTAGACGAATGAGAGGAGCCTGGTTCTGTCCTTTTTTTTCCTTTTTCTGCCTTTAATGCACCAGCCGAGGTGTCAGGAGATGAACTGAATCGGTATTGTGTCAGATAGGCTTTTAATCGCACCTTAAGTGTTGGAAATTACGTGGAAAATACTGAAATTTCTAGTGCGCTGCGGCTCAGATAATAGTGTTGGGAAAATAGAGTTTTCACCTTCATCTGATGGCGTCCTCTTTCCCCTTTCATCACTCCTCGCTTATTCACACACACATCTCCTCTTTTTTTTATTCTATTACGCCGCTCTCATTTTTTCCCCCCACAGCTGCTTAGCTGGACACTTTTCATGCCTTCACCTTTTCTCACCGGACTTTTCCGAGAATTCCCGATGATTTTTTTTGTGTTGTTTTTGCAGCAGAGCTTTTTTTTTCTGTGCAGCAGGGGGAAAAAGAAAACCCATGCAAAGCTTCCACCGTATGGAAGAGGAGTCAGGGGCCTCTGCATTATTGATGAGGCTTTATATAGGCAAACAAAACTAAACACAGAGACGCTCGCAGCTCTGCCTCGGAGGACGGCGGCGGCGGCGGTGGGTGGGAGAGTGGGGAGTGTGGGGGAGGCAGCGAAGAGAGACATGCAATTCTCTCAACTTAGTTATTGTATTTGCACAGCGCGATAAAAAGCCAGTGTCACAATGCGATCTGGAAACGGGCGTCGATGGAAAAACAACACCGCTAAGAGGCTTATGAGGCATCTTACCTGGAAACGGATAAATGAATAAATAAACAAGGTAAAACAAAAACGAGATCACGACCCAAAAGGAGAAGAAAAAAAAAAAGAAGAAGAAGAAGAAGAGCGGATCAGATAACAAATGATGATACAGTGGAACACCTAAAAGATTCATAAAAGCACAAAATGAAATAAAATAGCCGGCGTGGAACAAATGAAGTCATGCTGGAAGTGTGTTATTGCATGAATGAGTAGGTGTGCAGGGGCAGGAGGAAAGAAAAGGAGGTCAGCGTGTTTAAAAGTCAGCTCATATGCATTTCTGGAAGGAGGCGATGCGGTAAAGTCTGTCGGAACAAACAGGAATGTGTTTGCAGTCTGATACACATGCAGCTGCTTTTTTTTTTTTCTCTCTCTCTCTTGTTTTGCAATTGATTAAACCTGGTTTTTCAATATAGAAGATGGAGAAAGCCATCGAGAGGAGAGAGATGGATGCAGCGGGAGGGGAGAGATATGGAGGGATTTATTTCTATCTCTTGTTTTTTTTTTTTCCTCCTCTCTTTTTGGTTGTTGTTGTTGAAGAATGTGTTTTTGTGCTGCACCACGGGCTGTATTAAAAAAAAAAAAAGCAGAGGTGACTCCGACAATCACTCAAACCGCTCGCAAAGTCATCAAGGACGGCTTCGAGCAATTGTTGCGCTGCGGAGAGAAGTGGAAACGCGCCGCAAACACCCGCTCGTTCCTCCACAGGTTACCGAATTAGGCCACGGAACACCTACTTGATGAAACCTCATGCATATAAGAACGCGTGGAATATCTGAAATCTATGCAAATGCTATCCAGAGGCTCTCGATTCACATTTAAACCACTCCGTCAGTTGAAATCTGAATAAATTGTCTGTGTTTTTTTTTCCGAAAGAGGCATCAGTCATGTGAAAGATTCCATCTATTGTGTATCAGCTTTCAGCGACTCCAAAAAAAAACGGAAGATGGTCGTATAGATTTATTAAATTGGCTCGTTTGTGCTTCGTCATGCTTGTTTCTGCTGCACTGCCTTCGCCGGAGCATAATGCGCCGCACTCGCTCATGTATTTTTAATGTGACAGCAACAAATTGGCCACACCTGTTGCTAGTTAGATCTTAAAGCATCCTGCGCGTGTGGGAAGGCTGCTCCGGTTATTAATCATACCTGTTGGCAGCGGTGGAGCATCTCCGACTGCAGCGCTGCATCGCGCGAGGCGGCCGAGCTCCGCCATCGCGCGCGTTTAATCTAAATCTCTAATTAAAACCAGTAGGAATGTGATTATGTCATAAACGGCAGCTGCAGTCGGAGACAAAGATGTAACTTTCTCTATTTTCGCGTTTGTGATCTCAGCGGCTGGAGATGAAATTAGCAACAGATCAGAAGTGAAAGGATTCACGAAGTCGGTCCCGCGAGGCCGCGTTCTGTGTACGGTTGTAGGAATGCATCCAGTAATGAAGCTCCTGCTTTCAGATATCCAGCTATCAGAACAAAAGCTTGTAATCTGTGACTTGGTGAAGGAAAAGTGCACCAAAGTTGTGTTTCTGGACTGAATTTTTAAGCACAATTTTGAAAGTGGAAAAAGTTTGGAGAGAAATAATCTTTCACACTCGCTTGAGGTGGTTTTTCAGCTTCTTGGAAAATAGTTCACGCGTCACGGGAGGTGGAAGCATCTTCTCTGAATAAGTTCAGACGTAGCGAGCGTTTAACTTTAACACGAGTAATCCTGAACACTTCTCTCCTCATTCCGCTTATAAATGGACAAAGTTTTGTTGTTGTTTCTTGGAGTTTTTCAGCTGCCGATTTTGTCTTCTATCTTCTGATGACTCCACACAGCCTCGTCGATTTGCTCGAAAGCAGTTGATGGACATGAACAGTTCAAATTTGCTTTACAAATATGTTAAGAAACAAGCTACGGTAAGCGTTTAAAGTGTCTGCCATGAAAAAGTCTAAATCCACCACCAGCAAGTGAGCAATGTTTTGCAAAATAGGGAAAGTTTTTGGGGATTTTGCCATCTTCATTAACTTTTTTTTCAAGTCAGTACATTTGTTTTTATTGGATCAGGCAACCAAAGCATAAAAACATTTCTTTTGGTTCAGCTGGAAGATCTTGGTTAAGGTGGAGAAGAAGGAAAACCTGTTGCTCCTTCATGTCCGCTGCCATCGGCCATGTTTTATGGCAAAAACAATGAAAGAAGCAGCCGATCAGTTGTGTTTGTTGAACGTTTGCGATGTTTTTTTTGTTTGTTTGTTGTCTAGAGAGTCAAAAACCACTTCTGGCGAGTGTAAATTCAACCACTTTTGTTCACTTTTTCTATCCTGATCCTTCAAAATGCACTCAAAAATGGAAACAAGTGAAGCCGTGAGGAACGTTAAAAGCGATTCATGTCTGAATGACTGAACGCCGTCACTCTAACAGATTAATTAAGCCAAAAGTCTTGTATATCTGAAAAGGACCTTAGTTTTTCTTGGCAAGCTAATGAATCGTGCAGCCTTTGTGATGCTAAAGTAATTGTTCCCACTTAACGATCTTGATTGGCTCCATTATCACGGCTCCGCTCTCTAATTTCACGACGCAAGGCAGCGGAGAGACGAGGAAGAGACCGAAGAGGAGTCACGTTCACGTCACCGGTTGGAGGTTTTGGGTGGAGCTCACGAAGACGGCGGATTTCCTTCTGCACGCTCTTTAATTTGCAGACCAGGAAAAAGATCAGATCCGGTGCGAAACGCGGAAAATTACACGCGGCGGAGTCATTTTGTCTCGCTGTCATTATGTCGTTACGAACGCGGTCCATCACGGGCTGCATATTTGCCACCAAGCCTCCATTATTCACACCACAGCGCGAAGTGGAGGCAAACTGGAATTGATTCTGTCTGAGTACACAGAGCCGCGGCTTTCACACGGCCGGGCCTCCAGCTCCAGCACTTACACATAAGTCTGGACCACTTTTCTCCACCTGGACCCTATTTTCTCATCTCTATCCATCTTAGCGATCGATTCTGACCAAAATCTCATCAATTGCTTTATTATGGAGCTACTTACATCTTGTTTGTCTGGGTGCAGCTTTCCAAAGAGGTCCTAAAGGATCGCAGGACTCCACAGCTCGTCTGATTCAGAGCACGATGACCTCGGAGCGATTTCGCCACGTGCTGGTGAAGAAATTGAAATTGCACAAGATGATTGAGTCGTGATTTTCACGTGATTTTTTATTTTTTTTGCTTTACCGCCTCTTATTGTCCGTTTTTGTTGGCAAAGAGCAGCTGTTTGAAATAAGAATGAACTCTGGATTAAAGAGATGCTGTTTGGTGGTTGAAGTAGTTTTTTCTTTTTACATCCAGAGCTGAACTCCAAGCAGCTTTCTGCGGTTTTTACTCACTGCGGGATCGTTTTTTTTCTACAATATAAAGTATATAAGCCATGGCTTGAAGTAGAGACGACTTTAAAATGTCTCATGTGCAGACTTTAGTGCCATACATGATAATAAAATATATATTAAAGGAAAAACAAAACTTCAGTTCCTTTAAATTATTTTGTTTCTGCAAAAACTGAAAAAATAAACCTGCAATCAACATGTGCAGCAGTTTTCCAGGTGCACAAGTGTTCCCAACACTACAAAAAAAGTGGCTCTACATATTTTCCTATTCAGATTTTTAAGTTCTGTTCTGATCTCCTGCCTGCACTTCAGCTGAAAAGTCTTTTTTGTCACTTGACTGCTGGTCATATCTGAGTCACTCATACTTTCATAGTTGTGC